AACTCAAAACACAAAGATCTGGTCGTAATTAACTAGTTAGTGCATCGGTGTTTAAGTTTTACACTAAATTACTGTGGCTAAACATTACAAGCGTATAAACTTGTGTTCCTTTGACCTTTTTTTATAATTCTTGCGAAATAAACCTCATTGAAAGTCTAGTGGATCGAGTAGAATTCATTCGGAAACATTTCGTATCATTTAATTACCTACACAGTACAGATTTAGAAATCTCTAGACAAAAGAGAGAAAGCTTTTGTATCTGCGGCTGATCGGTTCGCAATGATATTTTGAAATTTCCACGACATACAGATCTAAATCGGTCCACGGGCTTGAAATCCAAGGAATAATTCAATTTCAGACTCGCAAAAAAAAGTGGTAAACCTTTTCTTATTAACACATTGGCTTGAGAGGTACCGGAAGATTTTTAGAAAGGCAAAAAACCATTTGATCTTTGCATTCAGAAGGATTAACCTTCAAAACAGAAAACTCCTGCTAACCGTGCACGTTTATGGACTAGACGAAACAATTACACTTCCTTAAAAAAAACCCTTAACCTTGCCTCGATAAAATTGTTTCAAGTTCAACCGGAGTCCCTTATCACTTTCGCGCTCTGTGAAAAGCCATTATTTTGACGAGCCAAAATTCGCAAAAAGCGATGGAAACCACTGAAAGTTCAAATCACATCACTCTTTACCTGAAACTGGTCTCGAAACATGTGCACGGGTGAAAGTGGACTTCGCTTCCAGCTGGCTTAGGCAGATTGATCAGAGTCGATAGTCGCGTAGCTTTGCTAGTTGCGGTGAATACTTGCCCTCACCACTAGCTAAATATCTCGCAACGGTTGCAGCTGTGTATTTTTAAGGTATGGAACCCCTCCTGAAATGAACCCTTTATTTAAATATTGCATAGTAATTTCCATATGTTTTAGGCTCGGGAACAGGTGAATCGAGAGCACTCAGATGATTCTCTTTCCGTCATTTCGCTTTTAAGGACGATGAGATGCACAGAATATCGGCCCGTTTCCGACTTCTCTTGAGAGTAAATTGCATTTAAATGGGGAAATTGTTCTTTGAGTTACAAGGGCACTTGACTCACGATCCGGAACAAAATACGGCCACACGTGTCTGTCGTACAAGTGTCAGTTTTGTTTCCGTTTGAGAGAGAGATATGTCTATTCAAATTCAAATGTAGACATAATGCTTTTCATGCGTTTGTGGAGAGAGAATAGTTTCCCCTCTTGGTAGTATAGGACCTCTTAAACGGGGCATTGTGATAAAAAGTTCGCCGAAACACAACAAGATCTCGTTCTAAAGAGGAAATTTAAAAGGAGTCGATTGAGTGTGGTTGTTTGAAACAAAGATGCCTGAAGTTTACTTATCTTGATCAATATAATGTAAAACCTATTCTTAATACATTTTGTTTGAATAATTTTGTGTGTGAAATGAAAGTAATACTTTGAATAACACTTCATAAAATTATTGCAATGCGATAACTCGTGCGCATGCGTTCTTTCAAAATAAAAGTGTGCCTTCAACAGGAAAACCTTTTAACTTGATCGATGGGAAGGCAAACATCTCGACCGCAATATTCGTATGATTTATTGTTGTCAAAATTTTAAACATATCATGCCGTCTGTAGGCGTCTTTGAGCGATTACGAGCGTCAACACGCTGCCTTGCATATGTCCACGATGGCGTTTTTACTGATTGGAGAGGTAACAACAGTGTGTAAGATGTACACACGGTGTATTGTTGCTAAAAGTATTGACAGAACGTATTGTCTGAAAAGGATTTTTAATTTCGTTGACGATCAGCGCGTCCAAATTCTGTACCAAGTCCTGATCTTTAATCAATCGGCAGTGCGAGTATAATTAACAACAGTAATAAATTCGTTCTGGTGGGTTGGTCACTCGCATACACTCTAAAAGCTATACGTGCCCAAGTATTTTCTTCTCGGCGATATGCAAGGTGTTTAAACAAAAGCTCGACCCTTTTGTTGGGTCCTTTGCTAACCTCGGGGGCGTCGCGTGGCGGCACGTGCCAATTTCTGACGAAAACAACATTGAAATGGGTTCCCTGGCGGGAATAAAAAACTTCAAGGCCATTGAAAGGGTTTACCACAATTTACTCAATGTGACAATACTTCGTTCAAATTGTGCCAAGGCTTTTGGTTTTCGGTTACTTTTGTTTTTTTGTAATGAAAAATAAACACAATATTCCGGAAAGCTGATAAAAACAATAAAGATTCTGTACACTCGAGGGGGAGCTGTCATTGTTTTCACAAAGAACCGATTACCTGTTTCTTAACGTTAAAAAAGCAAGAATGCTATTGTATGGGGCGCCAACGAGCGACAAAATCCCGCAAGAACCAAGATTCACGACAGAATCTCAACGGCGGCTCGCTAGTCGATGAGGGAATTTCCTCGAATTTTCAGCTTCCCGTTAATTAATAAATTATATACTCTTAATTAGCTTCTAGCGATGTGTCATCTTGGGACGAATTTCAGCTGTGAAAATTGAAAACATATTCTTCCACCTGCATTGGACTGATAAACAAATATAATCTAATTAGGAGAAAGATACATTACCGCACATTGAAAGTAGCTTAAAAACGAGCCTTGAATAATCTGTGTTCAATGCTACAGTTAACGATATACATTTTTAATTCTAATTTCGTTCCAACGATTTGGTTTCCCAAGGAAATGAGTAAATGAAAACATACAGTTGGCACCTCGAATCATTAAGTCAGCGAAAGATGTATACAATTCTTGTCATTTCCGACTTGCAAACTTTAAGAAATTTCTCAGCGAATGTCATAGATTGCTAAGGGTTAAAATATGTTTTGCAACAAAATTTGAGAAATATTAAAGAGTTATACTTCGATGGGTGGGCTGCTTTTTCATCGGGTGAACGTTTTAGATCGAACGCTTATTTAAAATTCACAACTTAGGAAATTTTCGCGCTTGGCCTGAGAGGTAAGCAGTATGGTTTAGGTACGTTTTTTCGTAAATAATTGATATTTTACGTTTTTACTAAATCATATTTTTTATATTTTCAGGGGCTGAAATGAATTGGAAAAATTTGATACTGACTCAGGATTAGGGTAAAAACGAGATTTAGTTTTGTTTGACGCAATCCTTGTCCCATTCTTATGCATGATTGAAACTTGATACCGCCGAGCCAATTTTCTTGCAACTAAAGAATATTCTTCTCTTAATTCGCTATATTAAATTAAACTTTTAAGCCCTCAAATAGACACAAATTAAAAAATAAAACCTAACAATTTCAATTTGTTGTAGCCGTAAAAAAAGAAATGCCTTAGTTGTCGCCTTAGTTTTCAGTGAAACCGTCTACCAATTAGAATTGTGTTTTATTTCTGCAAACAACACACTTAAGGGGTTATACATTAAAAGGAAATTGTATCATAATTTTAACACGTTATTAAGAAGATCAGAATACTCTTAACATAAACCACCAGAGACGGTAAAACTTTAATTGTAAATTATTTTATTCGCATTTTGCGTTTAACACTTGAAAAGAAACTGTAATTAATCAAATTCTATTAGTGAAATAAATGGCGAATTGGGCGCGTCAGCAAAAAAAAAATCGTTTAAATTGTATCGGCAATTATATTTCTATGTTTACCATATTTGCCAAACGTAACTTTTCACTCGCTTTTTAACCAAACAGCGGGAAATTTTTGCTCAAAGTTTATAGGTGCAATCTAGAAATCTAAGAGAACTGGAATCTGAATTTGTCAAAGCGATGAAAATTTTACTTGGTGAGAATAACAAGTAATTAAATTCGAATGTGAATAAATTCTGGCTGTTTCGTCCTGAGGTTTCTGTAGACTAACGCAAAATCATTTGAGCAATGAAAGTTATTTTTTACTGGATTATCGTCTGAGTTGGCTTCTGTTTGTGGCTGATTTAACTTTATTTTTGTTTAGAAATACTCTTCAGCGTTCTTAAAGCTTCATTAATGGTTGTATTGGGGTCTTGTAATCGAAGCGAAGTCAGGTGGAATGTTAACGAGCCTGATATTGCTGAACTGCCACGGCTGCTCCTGTTTTCCTCAGGATTTACCTTTTTTCTGTCCGCTTTTACCGGCCTTGAATGGAATTCCAAACAATCACAATTCGTCCCAAAATGTTGAAAAAGTTTTTACCTAAGAAATGAGAGGTACTCATTGATACTCCAAGCTGATTTGGCAAAGGACGTCGATAGGTTTCACGTCTTGGTCTGTTGTTCCCAGATCGACTTAGATTATGGAGGGTTGGTTTTTGTTGAGTATAGAGACCCAAAGACAAAAAAAATATGGAGATGAAAAGTGAAAGAAATTTAAACTTAATTTGAAACCTAGGTCAAGGGGTCAAACGTGGCTACAAAGGAGTCTCACAAATGCAACATCCCTGCGAGCTGTATTGCTCCCTCATATACCTCCCTTGTATCCCCTCCCCTATATGCCCGCCCCTATATGCCCGCCCTTGTGTTCTCTCCCCTGTACGCCCTCCCCTTGTATCCTCTCCCCTATATGCCCTCTATCGTGTCCCTTCCCTTGTATCTCCTCCCCTATATGCCCTCCCTTGTGTCCCCTCCCCTGTATGTCCTCCCTCAAGTCCCTCCCCTTGTATCCTCTCTCCTGTATGCCCTCTATCATGTCCCTTCCCTTGTATCTCCTCCCTTGTCTCCCCTTGCCTTTTTTCCCTCTCTTATGTCCCCACCCTTGTACCCCCTTGCCTTTGTGCCCTCCCCTATATCTCTTCCCCTATATGCATCCCATTATATATCCTCCCCTATGGCAGATCCCCTATATTCCCTTTCTGATATCTCCTCCTACCCC